TTTCACGCAAATTCTTCTGCTAGTTGGGGTTTATTCCAAATCTGCATCCTTTCCTTCAAGGCTCAGGGGTCCAAGATTATCTTCTGTGTCTGTTTTAATTGGTTTCCCTTTTCTTTGTTGAAGAGGGTCTGTGCAATCCTTCTGCCTAGTCCGCCATCTTGCCCCGCCTCCTGCTCTGTGAGTTTTACCTTACTTAGTCAAGCATTAAATGAGGACAGAGCCCAATATTAAAGTTCTGTCATGATTTCAAATGTGTCCTTGGTTATCTAGTCTAATGTATAATAACTATTTTCAGCAAAGATAACTCTTATTCCCAAGTAAATCATTCTTCTCCAATGTAAGTTTCTTGGTTTTGACTTTGGAGGAAGAGAACAGTTGGTCTTCCTATAATATTGCAAAGTTTTGGCCAACACCTAAAAACTCTAACTCATCTATGTTTTCTTGTCGCAGGGCCCTCTTAGTGGACTGACAAGTGAACTGGTTAATAAATTCAACTTAAGCTTTTAATATGAAAAATAGAAGGCATTGGGGCAGTGAAAGCATCTACCCAAGTAGCTCCATGGGACATTTCAATGCCATGAAAATTCTTTCCACTACTTGCCTACTGTCAGCCTATAAAAAGTTCTGTTTCACATTGATGTAATAATAATTATAAGCCCTGGTTTTGATCTAAACCCAATATGTACACAAATATGTGACTATTCAAAATGATACTTCATAGGCAGCATATTTTGCTATTCTAGTAATTGTCATATAGGGTTAAATTTAATTCTTTGTTATGCTACGTTTCAGCACTCAAACAAGCAAATTTAACTTGGAATAGACTTTGTATTATCCTATTTTATATTACAGGAGCTTGAGTGGAGTAGTGCCTAAGCCATCTGACTGCTAACCAGAAGGGTGGTGATTCAAACCCACCAGCCACTCCTCAGAAGGAAGGTTGGGCAATCTACTTCCATAATGATAATGCCTCGGAAACCCAAGGAGGGATTGCTATGAGTTGGATCCGGCAATAGACAGCAGTGAGCTTGGTTTTTTGGTTTATTTAATATTATGTAATTTAGAAAATGCAAACATGCCAAGAACTAACCATTTTTTATCATGAGCACAGTGCATTATTTTCAACGGCTTTGAGGGTAGAAAATATTCAATATATAAATAAGTGGACAACAGTTATATGTTATAGATAAATACCAAAACTTAAATCAATATAGTATTCCAATAGACTTTTTAACCCCAGTTGTTAGAGTGAGCTTCAATATTAATTCAAACAAATCATACCACCGCCCACTGCCGTTAAGTCCATTCTGACTCACCGCTACCCTACAAGACAGAGTAGAACTGCCCCACAGGATTTCCCAGGCTGTAATCTTTATGGAAGCAGACTGCCATATCTTTCCCCCACAGAGCAACTAGTGTGAAAGAAACCCTGGTTGCACAGTGATTAAAGCACTCAGCCACCAACCAAAAGGTTGGTGGTTCAAATACACCAGTTGCTCTGTGGGGGAAAGATGTTGCATACTAAAGAATAAAAAAGTTTTTGCTAATTCTGGAATCTGAAAATTACATTAATGCAAACACAAGACTATAGGAAGTATGTTGTAAATGCTAGGTTTGTAACTAAAGAAGACTATCTATAGTTCATACATTACCTGTTTCATGACAAATTCTTTTCTAGGGGTTAACCACAAAATCAAATAAAGCAAAGCACTTCCTTTATATATTTATATAATTATTCTTATTAAATCAGCATTCAAATAGCTTTAAACAAATCCCAGAAGCCAAAGTTATTTCTTTATCGTTGTAAGGAAATTAAAGCTAACAAATTTAAAAAGCCTCTAAACTAAACAAACAAACAAAAGTTCCAGGTCAATTTAATATCAAAATTTATATCTCAATAACTTAGACACGCATCATTGCTCAAAACAGTAAGAGAAGAGAATTAAAAAGTCATATCATTTTAAAGCTGGAAGATATCCATTTGGGAGCTAGTTCATTTTAACGAACTCAGAGATTCATACATTAAGTTAAAAAAAATAATAAAGCTCTCCTTTAGTTCTGAAAAAGGTCAATGATGCCATAGTAGATGAACTTTTTGAGAGCCCTGGTGGTAAAGTGGTTAAGTGTAAGCTGCTACTGAGAGGTCAGAGGTTTGAAACAACCATCCACTCCACAGGAGAAAGATGAGGCAGTCTGCTTCCATAAAGATTACAGCCTTGGAAACCCTATGAGATAAGTTCTACTCTGTCCTATAGGGTTGCTGTAAGTCGAATGGACTCCATGGCAACAGGTTTTAGTAGTCTTATTTCTCTGGTTGAATTTTAATCAGATCTTTAAATCAGTCTTAAGCAATAAAATATTTACCTTGTTAGGATTTGTTGTTGTTATGTACCGTTGAGTCGGACACGACTCATAGTGACCCCTCCTTGGGTTTCCGAGGCAGTATCACTACGGAAGTAGATTGCCCCATCTTCCTTCCGAGGAGTGGTTGGTGGGTTTGAACCGCCAGCCTTCTGGTTAGCAGTCAAATGCCTTAGGCACTATGGCCTTTATTATTCTATCTCTCAGAGACATTTTTCATATTTTGAAAATATCGAGCACATTTCCTTTCCTATAGCTTTAAAAAGTAAAATAAAAGTAGAAGTGCTAAATTTCTCTTCTGAACACCAATAAACTTATTTTTGAAAGTTTGATGTGTTCTTATATGTAAGGGTTTTCATAAAGATGAGTTTTAAAACATTTCAGTGCACACAGGATTCTAAAGCAACACCACAAACGCACAGCCCATACTCACCACAACTTTCCCTTTGTGAGCTTTCACTGTTGCTCCAAACCACTGATTTGATTTGAACTCTATAGGTTCTTTGGTTCCATTAACTCTGATCTTTCTGTTGTCTGACAAGAAAGATAGGAATTGTTAATAATTTGTAAAACATGGCCATCAACTAAAATAGATTATAAAGAATTTGTACAACCTGATGCCAAAATTTATACGAAAATACATGGGGTAAAAATTAGCTAAGATATTTTTGAAGAAAAACAAGGTGAAAGGCTTGATCTATTAGCTCTTAAGACTTATTATAAAATGATTGAAATTAAGATAGTGAAGTACTAGTGCAAAGAATGACAACTAAGCCAAAAGAATATAATACAGAGCCTAGAAACAGAATTCTGTACTAATGGACACTGGACATAATAAAAAATGGTAGTGATGAGCATAATAAATAAATAAATAGAATGCATACATTAAAAATCACCTGGAAACCAACTTCATTCCCAGTTGGGTTTCCTTTTATTAAGTTTAAACTATGGATGGATAACTTTCATTAGAAAAATGCCAAGCAAATAAAAATACCTATTTGAACATGACATTTTATACTTAAAAGAATTTGTTTATCACATTTTACATTTCCAGAGATGAACTGTACTGTAAACTTAATATGGATTATGATGATTTTTTTTTTTTTACTTTTTGAGGTAAACTATTACTTAGTTGTTATTGTTGTTTTTAATTTCTATTGTGATTTGGGTGAAAGTTTACACAGCAAATTCATTTTCCATACAGCAGTTCTCACACACTTTGTTTCATGACAATGACTGCAATTTCCCACAGCTCCCCTCTCACTTCCTCCCCATACTTACCTCTTCCCTGTGTCCTTCCCTCCCATGAATTCCTGCCCCCTCCAAGCTGTCTCACTGTGCATATACAGTCCTTCTAGTCTCCCATGATTGTTTTCTCCAAGGAGTGTGTCTACCTTATGTAAATGTTCAGATCATATGCCTGTCTTTTGTTTGGCTGGAAGTTACAGGAGTTGGTTCAATTCCAGACCTGAGGGGCATCTAGGGGCCATAGTCTCAGGAGTTCCACCAGAAAACCTGCACCCCCCCCCTTTTT